TCAAACAACCTGACGTTAAATGTTAAGGAAATGGATCCAACTGATCCTCCTGTTTTCCAGTTATCTTATAAAGGAGTTTAATTCGGGGCCAGCAGGTGGCGTGGTGGCTGAGGTGCTGGACTTCCCACATGGCCAACCAGGGTTCAAGTAGCAGACCTGGCAGCTTGCCTTCTTGCTTTCCCTCTCTCTCTGGTGAACTCATGTGAAAGAATAATAATGATAATACATAAAATAAATAATGTTTAAAAAAAAGTTTAATACACCCTTAGGAGGCATGGGGGGAGAGGATTTCTCATAGCTTAGACAGACTGTGTATGTACAGAAAGGAATATAGACAAGCATACTTCCTTTTTGACAAATATAACATTTTTGAGGTCTTCTCTGAACGTGCTGGATTTCTGCTTGCTAGAGCTCTGGGTAGAGGTGATGGAGCCTGCAGGAAGGCTCTGGGAAGAGAATCGAGCTTATTCTTTTCCAGATTATGAGAAAAGGATATAATCCCCTCCACAAATACTCATGAAACTGCCCATCCTTTCTCTGATCCCTGCTTGTTTTTTCTGTGTTGTCTTATATTTTCCTCTTCTGTTCAGCCCTGTTTTTCTGTTCTCTGTGGCCAGATGCAGCACAGGTGCACATTAACCTTCCCAGTAGGCTGGGCTACCTTCCTAGTACATCCTGCTTGGCCCAGTCTTGGGCACTGATCTTACACATTGTGGCCACAGTTACCTTCATGCTCCTAATCAGGCTCCTTCTTCCAAACCTTAGAGAAAAATTAGGTTCCATGTAGCCAACCGCCATTCAAATCCTGACCTCAGTGGCTTGAAAAACACACCAGACCTATGTGCATCTCCCAAATCCTGACAAGATGGAGTACTAGAGAAAAAGGGATTGCAGTGTGACCACGCCTCACTAGGGGGTGCTTTCTCTCTCCCTCTGTTTCTCTGTGGCAAGAGCAAGAAACCATTGGCAACCCCACAAAAAGAAAGAAAATCACCATCAGGATGGCTCCCCATGCTCACCCTGTCTCTTCCTCCCCAGGGCTCCTCTCAACAATATACACCCCTCCTGGTCTCCGCCATTGTCTGTGCCCCACCAGCTGCGGCAGCACGATGAACCTCAGTATGAAGCAGGAACAAGAAGAAGCGAAAGAAAATATAAAGGACAGCTCTGTCCCGAGAAGAATTCTGAAAATGATTCAGCCTTCCGTAGCGAGCTCTCTTGTCGAAAGAGAAGACGAGTTGTCCAAAGGCTCATCCAAAAGGAAACATCAGAATGACCAGTTACCAGCTAAGACTTCCAGCTCTAGAGCTGTTACCGGTTCAGAATACAGTGAAAATAAAAATCTCCAAGGAGTCACTCAAGAAGCTTTTGATCTTATGATTAAAGAAAATCCATCTTCTCAGTATTGGAAAGAAGTGGCAGAAAAGCGGAGGAAGGCTCTCTATGAAGCGCTTCAGGAGAACGAGAAACTTCATAAAGAAATTGAGCAGAAGGACAGTGAAATCGCCCTCCTGAAGAAGGAGAACGAAGAACTGGCAGAAGTAGCAGAGCACGCGCAGTACGTGGTGGAGGTCATCGAGAAACTGACTGGTGAACTTCCGAATAACTTCGACTCCCCGGATAGTCAAGAATTTGATTCTGAAGAAGAAACTGGTGAGGATTCTGAACTGGAAGACTCAGAAATTGGCACACATGCTGAAGAAATTGTAACCTCCTCTACAGATGCCAAGCCGTGCATATGAAATTCATTACTATTTGACGTGAGATATATACTGCCAAAGTCTACCTCCATCGTAGTTCTTTGTAGCAGAGCGAATAAACTACATAATGCATAGCTGGAATAAAACTTCAGTTTGAAAAAAAAAAAATATATATATATACACAGCCCTCCTCAAGTCAATCTGGCTGTTGACTAGCCCCATCCCACCCCCAGGTCTTTTCTGTTTGTCTGTTCTTAACTCTTGGAACCTTAGGAGACCTTTGACTTTGTCTGGATATGCCCTGCAGGTGCCGATGTGGGAAGTGTGGGGCTCCAGGTCCCGCTCAGGAAGGGGATATGATCTTCCAAATCCAGACCTGGTTCTCCAAATGACAGGATGGCTTATCATCTTGGATTTTTCTCATTCTTTTCTTTTCTTTTTTTCTTTTTCTTTCTTTTTTTCTTTTTTTTTTTTTTTTAAGAGAGATTTTTGCTATAGGGCATGTGTGCTCACCAGAGAGACAGAGAAACAGAAAGTGAGAAATCACCCCCCAGGGAATGGCCATGCCGTAGTCCCCTCTCCTCCATTCTCTGTCTCGAGATTTTGGGCAAGCACACAAACAGGCCCAGCATGAGTTTCAAGCTGCTGAGTCTGGAACTTGAACCACGGTTGACTACATGGGAGTCTAACAATATTACCATTATGCCGCCTGCTGGTCCTAAGACGCAACTTTTTTTTTTCTTTCTTCCTTCTTTTCTTTTTTTTTTTTTTTTTTTTTTTCTTTTTTTTTTTTTTTTTTTTTTTTTTTTGCTATGGGGTACATGCACTCACCAGAAAGGCAGAGAGACAGAGAGACAGAAAGTGAGAAATCACCCTCCACGGGGATGGCCATCATACAATCTCTTCTCCTCCATTTGTTTCTTGGGATTTTGGGTATGCATGCACACATGCCTGGCGTGAGTTTAAGCTGCCGTTCTGGGAATCAAACCGTGGTCGACTCCATGGGAGTCCAGCTACATAACCATTATGCCATCTGCTGGTCCCTCATCTTTGATTTTTTGGTTGACTTGTAAAGTAAGCACATCTGACAAAAACAAATGTAAACTTTCTGCTGGAGACAGAATTAGTCTGGTGTTGAGAAAAGGATAAATCTTCTGTTCTCATGTGTTTTTATTGCTGTTTTCCTCTGATACCTTGCCCATTTGTGTGTTGCTTACAGAAATACTTGAGCTTGGGTGATTTTATAAAGAAGAAAAAGGTTTATTTACAAATGCACAATTCTGATGGCTAAAAAGTCCGAGATCTTGGCCTATGGCACGGCCCACAGAAGCACAGAGGACGGCAGGCTC